GGAGGAAGAGGAGGAGGAGGAGGAGGACGAAAAGGAGGCGGAGGTGGAGGAGGAGGAGAAGAAGGAGGGCAGGACAACGGCACACATAGGCAAATCATGGGGCGAATCATAAAGATGAGCCAGACGACAACAATGAGGACAATGAGGATGCCGGCCCACGTGGGCCCCGAAACAGCCCCAGGGGCGCCCCAGACGGCCCAGAATTGTCAACGACAGAGGCCCAGAAACGGTCTCCAAACAGCCCCCGCGCGGCTTTTGTCAACATCCCAATGAACATCCTACGAGATTTCGACCCACGATCCAGGGACGCTGGCGGGATGGGCCGAAATCAAGTCCAGTCTGTGTCGTAAGACCCCCACGTTCCTTCTCACCCTCTTCCACTTGGCCTTGCCAGCTTCAGCCGTTTTGGTTTTTGTTAGTTTACGCCTCTTCATTTCATTTCCAAGCTCCAAGTCCTTTCCCCCCTTCCCAGAGCATTTCAAATGATTCCATTGGGCCGCCCTGCAGGTTGTGCAGCCTCACTTGGGACGATTGGCGGCGACAATCATGTACCCGGGGAGCCTGCCGGGAAAATTGATATCCCGCCAGTCGAAAAGACGAGGCGAGGAGGAGCGCGGAGGCATAGCACGAATGCGAGGCAAACGAGGATAATAACGATGATGTGGAGGGGGGGAAGAGGAGAAGGAACAGGATGTAGAGGAGGAGGATTAGGAGGAGGAGGGCGAGGAGGACGAGGAGGAGGAGGAGGAGGAGGAAGAGAAGGGGCAGGAGGAGGAGGAGGAGAAGGAGGAGCAGGAGGAGGAGGAGGAGGACGAGGAGGAGGAGGGGGAGGGGGAGGAGGAGGAGGAGGAGGAGAAGGAGGAGCAGGAATAAGAATCTTACGAGAAACGAATACGAGGAATAATGATAATAAAATGAACAAGAGGAGGGGGAGGAGGAGGAGGAGGAGGAGGAGGAGGAGGAGGAGGAACAGGAGGAGGAGGAGGAGGAGGCGGAAGAGGAGGAAGAAGCGAATGAGAAAACAAAACATGAAGAAACGGAGAACATGGAAGGAGGAGGAATATTCATTCATCTGTTGATCCATCCCTCTCTCCATTTCCCGACCCCTGCCTTATTTGCAAAATTCCTGTCTGTATGCTTCCGTTTGTCCATACATCAACGGCGTAAAAAAAGGAAAACAACAAAAAACAAAAATAATATAAAACGCCCCTACCTGGTTTATGAGGCGCTGTGCGCTGAACCTCCTGCGGCTGAAAAGGGTAAGCCCTGCGAATCACGCATGCCGCGTGGCGTTCTGGAGACTCTCTGGCCAGTGTGAGCTCCCAGGAGATGTACTGACCACGCGCTTGTATCCCAGGGTAGGGGCGTTCTTTCATTCCTCAAATGCATGCCTCCCTCCGTCCCTTCTCCTTTTTGTTCCTCTTTCCCCAACCCGCTACCGCGACGACGGCGGCGACGACGCCGACGACGACGACGTCGACGCTGGGATTGCGCCTGCCTGCCATGAAATTGGGTGAGGATATAGCCCATGAGGAGGAGGAGGGTGCCGATGAGGTCTTCGGACTTGACTAGAGCCTAAGCGCGCGTAGCGCGCGCGTGGTTCTAGTATATGTATGGTTATATATACACATTTACGTACACAGATATGCCGTTTTCTGTTGGTTATATCCAGGGCCCGAGTTCATGGGAGGTTGTGAGTGCTTGGAACCCGGAACCCCCCTAAATGGCCAGAATCACAAACCCTAGTGTGCCGAAGGTGGTTCTCTCTGCCGAGCGGCGGCACTTCCAGTCAGTGGAATGGGGTTGGGGGGGGGTCCCTTGGTGCATATCATCAAGCCACCCGGGTACATTCGGGCGAGACTAGGACGAGGACAAATCCTTTTCCAGAGCGTTTCCAAACGTGCTCAGAGCGTTCTAGATCGCTTTGAGAAGGCCGCGGCGCCCGAGACATTCTCCAGAGCCGCCGGAATTCAGAGACTCGGTTTATCCCAACTGGAATTGATCCTCGCCCCGCTTAGTCTCATACGCATCTCTAAACAAAATCCCACTCAACCCAGCCTCGCAGGCGCCCGATCTTGTTACTCCAGCAGGGGGGGGAGGTGAGCGGCCAAGGCCTCGGTGAAGGAGGGCCGGTTCGGTGTTGCTCGGCAGGGCTGCGGGGGCAGCAGTCCTGAGGGGAGCTGCCTCGGCACAAGGGGGGCTACTGGCAGTGCATCCCCCTCGTCCTCGTCCACGTCCTCCTCCCCTTCCTCCTCCTCTCTCCCCATCCTCTTCTTCCTCTTCCTTTCTGCTCCTCCTCATCCTCCTTTCCTCCTCCTCCTGCTCCTCCTCCTGCTTCTCCTCCTTTCCTCCTTCTCCTCCTCCTCCTTCTCCTCCTCCTTCTCCCCCTCGTCCTCGTCCTCCTCCCCCTCCTCCCTCTCCTCCCTGTCCTCCTCCTCCTCCTCCTCCTCCTCCTCCTCCTCCTCCTCCTCCTCCCTGCTTGGTGCTCTGGAGGTGACCCTGGGGCCGTGACAAGTCAGGACGGCCAGGGTGGGAAATGGGTCCTGGGCAAGGGGGTCGAAAGCTCAAGGGGCCTGGCAGGTCTGGAGGAGGGGAAGGGCAGGGCGGACCTTTCATTCCGCTGTGTTGGCCGCCTCCGCGGCCATGGGGAGGGGGGCCGGGGCGGACGCGGCCTCTGGAAGCCGGTGCCCGTCAAGTGGGCCATGTCGTGGTTTTGGAACCGAGTCGCCTGGTTGGTGCGAGGGGGGGCAGGTCGGCCACGCGCGGAGGGTCAAGCAGTGGCGAAGCGTCCTGGCTCGCCTATAGTCCTACCAAAGAATGTTCTAATAACCTTTTGTGGTCTGCACGAACTGTTCTTAGAACATTTCTGGCTCGGGCAGTCTTGCTTTAACACATCTGGTTCATGTTCTAAGAATATTGTTTTTGTTCTTAGAACATTTCTGTGTTCTCAAAACATTTCGTGGTAGGACTATAAGAATGCCGGGACGGTCGGTCCCTGCTTAAGAGGGGGAAATGGGGGGGGAACGGCTTCTTGGAAGCACCCCTGCTTCCGAGAAGGCGAGGGCCTTGTCTGTAGAGGTAGGGCTGGCGCCTTCTGAGAAGCAGCCTCCTTCTAAGAAGGCCTCCACCTCCCTCGTGTGCGCCGCCAAGTAGGCGCACCCGAGCGCGCCGAGCGCGGAAGTAGGCAGGCACATCGAATAAGAAGTTGGCCTGCCAGCAGGCGCCGCACTAGAATTTCCCCTCTTCTGGTGGCCCCAGGGGCCCACATGAGTTCTGGGGCTCCTTGGGACCCTCAAAAGTGAGCGAAGAGGGCCCTGGTTGCCCTTGCTTCTCCTTCTCGTTCTGCTCGTCCTCCCTCTCCCCTCGGGGGCCCACACAGAAAAGAGTCCCCCCGTGCCCTCGGCCAGCGGTCTGCTGGCACAACGGCGCCGCGGGAGGAGAACGTTGGGAACGAGGCCGAGACCCAGAAGGATGACGAGGACGACGACGACGACGGCGTCGACGACGAGGGCGAGGGCGAGGACGACGGAAACGACGACAACAACGAGGATGAGGAAAAGGAAGAGGGAGGGTGAGGACGACGACGACGACGACGCGGACGAGAACGACGACGACGCTGAAGACGAGGACGAGGGACGGTGACGACGACAACGAGGACGACGGTGACCACGAAGATGAAGATGGCGTCGACGACGACGACGAGGACGAGGACGACGACAAGGACGACGACGACGAGGACAAGAACGAGTGAGAGGACGAGGAACGGTGAGGATGACGATGGTGACGACGACGAGGATGCGGACGAGGGCGTGGGCCAGGGACGGTGAAGACGACGATGACGAGGCGGAGGACGAGGACGAAGGACGGTGAGGACGACGACGACGTCGAGGAGGAGGACGACGACGAGGACGAGGACGAAAACGAGGGACAACGACGAGGACGATGACGAGTCTGAGGACGAGGACGAGGGACTGTGAGGATGACGAGGAGGACGACGACGACGTGGACGAGGACGAGAACGAGGGACAACGACGAGGACGAGGACGAGGACGAGGGACAACGACGAATAGGACGACGACAAGAGAGGACGTGGACGGGGACGAGCACGAGGATGAGGTCGAGGATCACGGACAGTGAGGACGACGACGACGTCGTCGACGACGACGAAAACAACGACGAAGGACGGTGAAGACGACGAGGACGAGGATGAGGATGAGCACCAAAACAAAGACGTGGGACGGTGAGGACGATGACAAGGATGAGGTAGATGGCGAGGACGAGGACAATTGACTGTGAGGACGATCATTATGAGGCCGAGAACCAGGACGAGGGACGGTGAGGACGACGACGAGAACGGCGACGGTTAAGACGAGGGACGACATCAAGAGCGGGGACGAGGACGAGGACGAGGGACGGTAAGTACGACGACGGCAACGACGACGAGGATTACGACTTGAGAAAGTCAGAGCGAGGACGAGGAAGGACGGTGAGGACGACGACGACGCGGTCCAGGACGAAGGATGGTGGGGACAACGACGTCGAGGACGAGGACGAGGATGATGAGGAGGATGAGAGACGGAACTGACGACGACGACGTCGAGAACAGCGGTGGCGGCGTCGACGACGACAAAGACGACGACACTGAAAACGAGGACGAGGACGAGGGATGTTGAGGACGACGAGGACGACGATGACGTAAGATGAGGACGAGGAGGGACGGTGAGGACACCGACGATGGCGAGGACGAGGACAGGGACAAGGAATGGTGGGGACAAAGACGACGATGCCGAGGACGAAGGACGAGGGACGGTGAGGACGACGATGACGACGAGGATAACGAGGATGAGGACGAGGATGTGGACCAGGGACGGTGAGGACAAAGGTGGCGACGACGTCGGCGACGAGGACCACGACGCCGACGACCATGAGGACGAGAACGAGGACGAGGACGAGGGAATGTGATGACAGAATCGACGACGAGGAGCCGCGCAGTCCGCCAGGCGACCTCGCCGGAGCACGCTTCCTCCAGCGGCGCGCCGGTGCAGTTCGGCGCCGGTAGCCAGGCGCGCGGAGTGGGCGGCATCTTTCGGGCTGGGCAGGGGGTTGCGAGGGCGGAGGTGAGGGCGATGAGGGAACCCAGACCCCTTGGCGTCGTGAAGGATCGCAAGTAGGAGTTTTGGGCACCCTTGTGGACCGACAATGTGAATCAATCCTGACGTCGATGGTCTCGGGTGGAGGATGGCTGCACTGGTGGGCGGGGGGGCCGGAAGGGTTCAGGTCGCGGATGGGGGAGGGGGCGTGTGGTTGCTGAGCTCCTGTCAACCTCTCCTCGTGCGCTTCTGTCTGTGCTCCCTTGTGCGCCGCCATATCGGCTCACAAGGGCCCTTGAGTTATCATGGCGCGCCGGTGACGGGTTCGCTCACGCTTCCGAACAGGAATGAGAACGTGCTCTCTTCTAGCACGGGTCCCTCTATTTGTACCTCGTGTATCTCTGTGTCCATACAATCGCTCCCGTACAATCCACAGTAGCAGCGGATCCTGTGCTTGAGATCCACGGGTGGAGTCAGGACGACTCCTCTGCCTTTCGGTTCTTGGCCGACATACTCTTTATTTGTTTCCCCTTCTTCCCGCTCTCTACCCTACTGCACCGAGCGCCGCCGTGGATGGTCCAGACGACGCCCAGCTTCAAGAAGATGAACTTCCAGCAGATCCCTGGTACAACCTGATCAGGATCCTTGGGCAGGAGCTGGAGGACGAGAGGACGCTCCTTAGGAAAGGGATGACAATCTTGGCTGGTCAGATCAGGACTGGGCCCGCTGGTTATCACAGCCTTGGACGGAGACACAGCCCAATGTGCAATAATCCTCATCAGGTCGGACTGCGCGTGGACGTGGTTCGCCGGCTGCACCAGATCGACAGAACACGCCTCTGCAGAGACAGGCTACGCCTTGTACCCTTCTGCTTCGACCTAAGACCATTGCCAGATTTTCTGATCGCCAGCGGGGGCAACTTCCTGAACACTCGCAGGCCCCAAATATACCAAACGACCAACCTCCCACTTGGGATGGAAAAAATCTGGGTACTCGTCTAGACCTTCACGTGAAGGAACTGCATGCGTGGCTCGATGCTACCAGAACTTCAGGAGCACAGCGCGGATTGATCGAACGCTATGCCAAAGATGACCTCAATGTCATCATTCACGAACTTACCGATGACGAGCTGTCTTCAGACGAAGGCGGGCAAATAGTGGTGAAAACGTCAGGTTGGTTGCTGCAGAGTGCCAAGACCGCAAGATGCCGAAGGCTTTTGAACAGTTTTTCTACCCAGACGACACCAAGCGCAGGCGATTGGAATTGTTTGTTAACTATATCGCGCGTAAGCGCGTGATGCCCGAGAACTCGAGAAGCGCGTGGTCCTGCCAGAAGACTTGAGAAAGGGTACGCGCTTCTGAGAAAATCCAAGCTCAATGGCGCTGGTTGGGATGCGTTGGAGCACGGGACAGAGAAGCCATACGACTTGGACTTGGTGTTTGAAACGCATTGGAAGCTCGAGCGACCACTGCCTTGTGGCAGAGGCGGCCGTCGCATCCACGTTACGAGTTCTTCCTCACATTATGTCGGAAATCAGCGAGACGATGGCGGATGCGAGGATCAGGAGTCGAATCGCGAATCTTTCCGGATTTTGTCATGTTGCAACAGTCTTTGTTTACTTTGCCAGAGCCCGATGGGGAAGGCGAGATTATGTGTGATGCCATCAAGTACATGGACGACGACGATGAACTCTTCGTAGCTGGGGACTTGCCCGACGACGCGGTTCTAGGCGAGGATGAGGCCTTCGCCAGGTCGAGAACAGCCAGATACGACAGTGCTTTCACAAACGGAAGCTTGGACGAGGCTTTCACAAACCGCAGGCCCCACAGGGGGGGCCCAAATGCCCCCAAAGGGGAAGTCCAAGCAGCAGGCCCCAGAGAAACGCGCACGGACTTGCATTGGACATGCCCGGCCGAAGCGGTGGACCGAAAGAAAGTCGATGAGTCGATCGATTTGTGCCCGACGCGGGAAGATGGGGCACTGGGCTCGAGACTGTGCGAGCGATCCAGACGAGCGAGGGCGCAAGGGACAAGCGGGCTTTGGCGGCTTCCAAGCAGCTTCCCATCCGGAGCAGGCGATGCTCTGCATGGCGCTTGAGAATGGGGACCTACGATGCAGCCTGGAGTCAGTTCCCACGCCTTTCCTGTATTTGCCACTGCCGACGCTGGAGATCAGGGTTGAATTTGACCCTTGGCGCAGGTTGGGTTCGGTTTGGTGGGCGCTGGAGCTCGGCGCGGAGTATGCGGCGAGGATCAGGTCAAGAAGCTTGTCAAATACCTTAGAGATGTTGTCGGTCTGAAGCCCATGCAGATACCTACTCTGGAAATGGACGCCATGGGCGTTGGGGGATCTACCAAATTTATATCCAGCTGGGCCTTGCTTATTGCCGTGGCAAGGAATTGCGGTGCTCTCGCTGTGCGTTTGATTGCCTGCAATGTGCCCTTCGTTCTTCTGGTGGGGATGCTCGGTCAGCATAGCGTGGCGTTGGCTCTGCCAGGCGGCGCTGTCACTTGGAAGGCGCCCGACGGCAGCCAGTCGAGACTGCGCGAAGCAGGGGCAGGCAAACGCTTTGCGATCGATGCGTTCGATTGATCCGAGGAATTTTGGCAGAGAAAGTAGAACATCCGAACGGTATTTCCCAAGACTTCGGGGCGCTGCCAAGCCGCTGATCTCGAGGGCGCAGTTTTCTGCGTGAGTCCGCAGGCACCCTCGGCTCAAATCTGTCTTTCTCAGCAAAGTGCCCACTCTCCCGACGCCCCGTGGGATGCTGAACCGCGCGGGGCGCATCTTCGCCAAGAAGGGGCCGCGGCTGGAACCTCCGACCAGGCCCAGTCATCCCACGATGACCCCAGACAAGCGGACGTGGAACTGGCAGCAGTTCGGCCCGACTTCTTTTTTTCCATTCTGGGCCACGTGGCCGCGAAGCGCCGCGAGGAGGCCCGCGCCTGGACGAACGCCTGCAAGAACCTCCTCGGGGGCGCCAGGGGCCTGGATCAGGAGGCGGCATCATCCGCGCGACGGCCGCGCGACCCGCGGCCTTTCTCCCGGGTTCTGACGATCTAAAGCGGGCAGTGGTTCGCGGCGGGCAGCAGGCTGGGCCCCGACGGCTCGGGCGCTTAGAAGACCGACCAGGCCGCGCGCGAGCGCTCCGGGAAGGGCATGCGCCACTGGGGCAACAACGAGACCCTGTGGTGGACGCGCGACGATTGCCAGGCGCGCTGGGCGAGGCCCCCGATTGACGGTTTCGGCAACGGCGCCCTGGACCGCGTGGGACGAGCGACGCTCGGGAGGTTCGCGGACTGCGCCTCGAGGGGATCTACGAGATGAACTTCCAGCCCTGCGAGCGGCGCGACCCAGCATCGCACGAACAACTCTGACGTTTTGCCGCGTGCACGGCCGAGCGCGAGATGCGCGAGAACATCGTGGACGGGGGCGGCGTCGAGACGGTTTGTGGAGGTGCGCGACGTCTTATCGCGGGCAGGAGATATGTTGCATGGGCGCAGGGTACATGTCCAAGTACATCGAGGGCCCCGCGACGCCCTCTTCAATCCGGCCGACCCTGTCGGCATTCGATTGCAGATGTTTTTTTTCTTAATTACCAGCGAGCGGATGACACGGGCTGTCTACTCGGATGGTACTGCCGAATTAATTCAGGATGCTTTGTCTGAAAACGCCCTCTGCCTGCACCAGCTGGCCGACCTCGAACTTGCCCATGATAAGTCTGATCGCCATGGGGATCGAGACTACGATCGATTTCTCAGATAGGGCAATGCCCAGCCTGAGGTTGCACCCTGGGTATTGCAAAGTTTGAAGTGCGACGAGTGCGATGCGCACAAACGACCTTCGGCTCGTCGTCCTGCTGCTGTTCCTAAGTCTTATCGCTTCGACCATGCTGTTGGCATTGATTTGGTCGAGGTCAAGTGCCCGCTAGATGATGCACTGCAGCTTCGGATCAGCATCATATGTCGGGGCATTTTTCTTTTCAGTTAGTTGGACATGTGGGGGCAGGGGGTCAGCGGATATAGTATGGCAGGCATTTGTACGCACGTGGGCACGAGTGTTCGGCGTGCCGCAGGTTGTCGCAGTTGATCCTGGAACGGGGTTTCAAGGAACGTTGACCGGAACCACGCAGAACAACGGCGCGTTCCTTTTCACAACTGATGCCCGCTCACAATTGTGAAACGGTCGAAGGGAACGTGCCGAAACATAATGGAAACGACAGCTCTGTTTAGCCGTTCATCGGGTAGTTCCGGACACTCCAGCCGAATGGTATGCTATGGGGGAGTTGTGTTGCTCTGTTCGGAACCGTTCACCCCTGCAACGGTGCCGGCGACACTTCTCTCCAATGATCCCATAGATCCCGAGTGCCTGATCTGGGGCAAGTTGTCCACCGAGCGGACGAGCTACTCCGAGCCGATATGAGAGCCTGGGCCGCCGTGGACAGCCGAACTCCTCTACTCCGAGTCCTACGTGCCAGACACCGTATACACCTGCGATTACGAAAGGTCAATTCGTGTTTGTTTGGAGACGAGGACGAGTTGTTTCGGGAACTTGGCTTGAACTTGGTGCGATCACTTTACCATTTGCTGGTGGGGCTGGGAGCAACGCGCGGGGAGCGCTGCGGCGTGCGCCCAACGAACAAATGCGCAGTTCCACCCAAAATGAGTAGAGGCACCGGGATCATCAATCGCTATCTTCATGACCTCAATATTGATCTTGAGTGGACTCGTGGAGCTCGTCGTTACGTCGACGCCGCCAGAAAAGGAAGCCCCGTATTCCACGGAGACGAGCCTCTACTCGATCCTGAAGTGGCAGAGGCCGATAAAATCCCCGACGACTCCGACGTCGGTGCCGGAGACCGCAACCGCCACCTCCAGAATAACCGGAATTAATAGCAATGGCGGAAAGTGATTGCGAACCTGGATTGGCACGCGTAGCACCTCAAAGCGACGATCGACAAGTTCGACCTCGTT